AAGTGCTCAAGAGGTGCCCCCAAATGGTAAAACAAATGCTCAACAAATAGTCCCCCGACTATTGTTTGCCTATTTGTGGGTATTCCCCCTGCAGAGGGACAGGCCCGACTTAATCCTTTAAGCCTGTCACGACGTGATCTTAGAGCCCGAGGACGCTCTAACAACAAGCACACGCTTCTCTGATAGCATCAAACCGATGTGTTGAACAAAAGGCAGTCCAGCCAGAACTGTTCGAAGAGCATGTCGTGCCAGCCACAGAGGGCTCTCAGAACATCCTGTCGGTGGACCTGCAGGCAAGCCGGGACGCTTCGCCACTGCTTGATGGGGCCGCCTGGCCTCAAGCGCTCCCTCCTGCGAGCTGGCCCCGAGGGGGAGTGGAGCCGGACCGGCGCTGCGGACAGAGGGGGAGGGGTAGGGCGCCAGACCGCGGGGCACGAGGGAAGCACATGCAGCCGAAGCACGGCCACGAGGCATCGTGGATCAGTGGCAAGAGCGCCTTCGCCGAGGCACCAAGACCCCAATCGGGGATGCCCACAGAGAGCAGAAGTCCGAGGCGGGGAGCGCTCAAGCGCGAAGAGCAGGAGGCGACCCCTCTGAGGCCAGCGCCAGCGCTGCTCTTACCCTCCCCGCCGGCCGTGCCGCGGAGCCCTCGTTATCTCCGCCGCCGCAGCAGCAGCGCCTTCACCAGCGAGGTCAGGGCAACTGGCTGCGTCGGCTGCGTCGTCGGCAGCGCCGTTGGCTCGCAGTGGAGCGTCGCAGGGCAGGGTCTTGGACGCCTTCGCTGCTGGTTCACCGACGCCGAAAGCGTCGTCGGCTCGCAGTGGAGGCGGCCCGCCGTTTGCATGCGAGAGACCAGGTGAAGCGTCGCAGGGCAGGGTCTTGGACGCCTTCGCTGCTGGTTCGCCGACGCCGACAGCGTCGCTGGCTCGCCGTGGAGGCGGCCCGCCGCCTTCGTGCGCGAGGCCAAGGTGGCGCCGGGGGGCGCCCCCCTGCACCTGGCCAGCGTGGACAGAGAGAAGCCGTGCTAGCCAGGAGTCAGGAGTGAGACTGCCTCCAGAGGAGGAGGAAGAGCAGGACGAAGAGAGAGGAGCTCGGCACGCTCCTCAAGCCCCAGAGAAGCCCTCGCGTGCAGAGAGGGGCTGCTCAATGGCCTGCTTCCTCCTGCTCATGCTTCCGCAGGCTATGGGCAAGCCATGGTGCGCGCCCATAGCCTCTCCTAGAATGCCACATAACAGCCAGGAGTGCCAGCCCGGCGCGCCCGCCTGGCGCCGGACCGCCCTGCGCACCCCTGCGGGGCGTCGTCAGCCGCGAGCAGGGGCGGCGCCCAGTTGTTGGCGGCGAGCGAGGGGGGGATGTGAGAAGGAGAAGGCCTTCTCAGAAGGCGCCGGGACTTCTCAGAAGCCCTCGCACCTTCTGTGCAGCTGTCTGTGTCTTCGGGGAAGGCTCAGAAAACTTCCCAAAGGCTGGGGGACGTCCGAGCCTCCTGACGCGGCCGCCCCTGCTCACTCCCCCCAGGACTCGGCGCCGAAGCTGGTCTACCCGTCTACCCTGGGGATGAGACTCTTTGCTTTTACGGGCTTGGCCACTTCACGCACGCTGCGCTGCCACCGCCCGCTGCGCGCCTCTGCCCAGCTTCGAGAAGTGCGGTTCCATCCCCCCGCCTGGGCCCATATGCCGCAGTGGGACGGGGGGCTCCACCGGAGCGGCCGCGGTGGCTTGACTTAAGTCGGGCGTGTCCCCTACAGGGGGATCTTGGGCGAAAAATTAAAAATACCCCAAAAATGCCCCAAAATTGCTCGAAAGTAATCAAACAATAGTCCCCAGACTATTTGTTTTACCTATTTTTGAATATCCCTCCTGTAGAGGGACAGGCCCGACTTGAGGATTGACCTGGCTGCGAGCACGGAGGGGGGGAGGGGGAGGAGGCAAGAGGGATGCGGAGGAGAGTGCCGGGAGGGCGCGGAGGGAGAGGGGGAGGAGGACAAGGAGAAAGAAAGGAAGGGAGGCTGGTCGTTCCCCCGTTACTCCCTCCCCGCCTTTCCCCTCTGGCCTCCTCCTTCATTCCCTCCTCTTCGGATTAGCCTGGACTGTGAACCACCCTATTTCTGTTTTAACATCATGTCGTTTGCTCTTGGAGTGACCAGGCGCGTATCAGGCGTGGAGAAGGGCGAGTTGTAGGCAAGAAGAGGGGAGAAGGGGAGGATGCGGACTTAGAAGGACCACCGCATGGCAGATTCAATCAACACCGAGTCGGGAAATCGGATCTGATCGGAGCGTGTGTCGGATTGGGCTGCATCGGCACGGAGTCGCAATCGAATCGGATCGGCCGCGCCAGGCTGCTCAACGGCGCAATGCAAACATTGGGCCGCATTGGATCGCTGGAACATCGGAACCGAAACCGATCGAGCTGGCCGGAAACGCTGTTGAATCGGACCGGTCTGATCGGAACTGACCCTGTGTCCCAAGCCCCCGACATCGTGTTTTTGCTCGCAGCATGGGCCCCTGGAGGCCTCGACCCATTCTCCACGACCGTCTGTCTTCCCATGACCAGGCCGAAGGAGCATCGGGCCCATTCCGAAGCCAACCTGCTCTTGGTTGTACAGTGGAGGCCCGTCCACAAGAAACCTTCCACAAGAAGCCCAACCCTGAGACCCCAGGACGCCCCTCGATTTCTCGCGTGGGAGCGTCGCGCTTTCCACAGCCAAACCATCGACACCCAAGACACCCAGGACACCCTGGAGGCAAGCGGGGTGTTTCTTGGCATGGGTCGCCAATGTAAGGAACATCGAGCCCCTTCCGAGCCAGGAGGAGGAGGAGGAGGGAGGAGGAGGGAGGAGGAGGAGGAGGAGGAGGAGGAAGGAGGAGGCAGGAGGAGGAGGAGGAGGAGGAGGAGAAGGATGGAAGGAGGAGGGGAGGAGGAGGAGGAGGAGGCCTTCCGAATCTAACCTGTTCATTACTGCAGCGTCTTGGCTGTACGGTGGTGCCCTCTTGGCCCTGCGAGGTCCTTGACCTGCTCCACCAGGGCGGCCTTGTTGCCATAGTTCTCCCAGCCCGCCATCCTGGCTGGCCGCGGCTGGCTGGCCCGCTCCCGGCCCTGCTTTCCCGGCTCGCGCTCCTTCTCCTACTCCTGGAACTCCGCGCGCCTCCTCCTCCTCTCGTTTTTTCTCTTCCTCCTCCTCCTCCTCCTCCTCCTCCTCCTCCTCCTTTTCCTCCTCCTCCTACGCGTCCTCCTCCTCCTCCTGCTCCTCCTCCTCCCTTTCCTCCTGTCGCCTCTCTCTTCCCCCCCCCACTCCTCCTCATTCTCCTGCTTCGGGCGCTGCCTATCCGACCCCTTTCGTGACGAGCCGCGAGCCCCTTACATGTCGAGCCCCTCCTCTTCGAGAACCCCCCCTCTAGCCGCCTGCCCACGTCCCGGAGCGATGCGAGAGGGTCGCTTCGGACGGGTCGGTTTGCCAGGGGCTTGGTTCGGTCACCCCTGACTTCGTGCGACGTTCGACTGGGGAGAGAACGGGGGCCAATTTCGGGGATATACGATCGGGGAGAAGTCCATCCTCGACAGTGGTGCGTCCGGATCGCCCCCCCTCCCCCCCCCTCCAACAGGTGCATCCCCGAGTTCTCCATGCTTTACCAAAACGCAACCAGACTTCATGGGGGGGGAACTGAAGGGATTAGGGGCGATTACATCGCCCGCGAGGACCTTCCTCCTCCTCCTCCTCCTCCTCCTCCGCTTCCTCCTCCTCCTCCTCCGCCTGCTCCCCCTCTCCTCATATTCTTCCTTCGTCACCTCCTCCTCTTCCTCGGGTTATGATTCCCCGTCTCTCTCCCTCTCTCTCTCTCTCTCTTCTTCTTCTTCCTCCTCCTCCTCGTCCATTCCATTTTCTTCTGCATAACTCCTCCGTGCCGCCCCCCGAGACGTGTCCGTGGGGCGGGCTGGGCATTTCGCCTGAGCCTTCCTTACCATCTCGGATCCCGAAGCTCAAAATAAAAACATAATCACGTGGAAGGGCGGGCCGTTTTCAGAATGTGGCTCTCGCCTTCGCGTCATGCATACTCTACCCAGTCTACAACATTTTAGCGCATGAGGGGCAGGTGATGTTCAAAATATGGCGCTCGCCCTCGCGCCGCGCACATCCGTCTTCAAAATTGCAAGATTGAAGCGGGTTGATGGCAATTCCTTCTCAACTTGTGGCTCTCGCCTGAGCGCCGCGCACATGAGTCTGAACAGTTTACAGCAGTCTCGCGGATTCTTACGGCTGACGTCCCAGGAATAATCTTTTTGCACGATGTAGGACTGTCAGGGCGCGACAATCACATTGATTCGCGGTTTTGAAGTCCCAGGAATAATGTTCTGGCACGGCTCAGGGTCGTCAGGAAGCGACAGTAACGTTGGTTCGCGGCGTAAAACTCCCAGGTACGGTGTCTCGGCACGGTTGAAGATCTTCAAACGATTGTTTTCCAACGGGGCACTCCCCTCAGTGAAAATAATTCCCTGTAGGGACCACGGAAGTGGGACTTTGAAGAGAGGGTGCCTTGCACCACCGTAGATGGGTCTTGGGTCTACACCACTCGATCCTCCTCCTCATCCTCCTCCGACCTTCCCCTCCCCACCCCCTCCTCCCCGCTCCCTCCTCCCTCATCCCTCCTTTCTCTCTCTGTTCCTCCTCCTCCTCCTCCTCCTCCCTCCTCCTCCTCCTCCTCCTCCTCCTCCTCCTCCTCCCCCTCCCCCCCCCCTCCTCCCTCCTCCCCCCTCCCCCCCTCCCCCCTCCCCCTCCTCCTCCTCCTCCTCCTCCTCCTCCTCCTCCTCCTCCTCCCATCTTCCGCTCCCCGCTCCCCTCCTCCTCCCGCGGCCCCGCCCCCTGCTGCTGCCTGCTGCCCCCCCCCCTACCCCTCGACTCCCAGCCGGCCGGGTCCTGTTCCCGCGCGCGAGCGGGCCGCCGCTTCAGGCACGCCGGGGGGGGGGAAGGCCCAGGGAGTCCCCCCTGCCCTGGGCCGCGTCGGCTGCGGGGAGGGCCCAAGGTGGAGCCGCCGCACCGCGGCGACCGCGCGGCGGAGCGGGCCGACGCTACGCTGAAGTCGGGCCTGTCCCCCTTCCGGGGTTATTTTGGACGAAGAATAAAACAGATTGCAAACGTGCTCAAAAGATGCCCAAACATACTCAAACAATAGTCCAACGACTATGTCTTCACTAGTTTTGAATGTTCCCCGTGTAGAGGGACAGGCCCGGCTTAAGGCTACGCGGGCTTCCCGGGGGCATGCGGGCTTCGCAGAAGGCTGGCCCATACAGCACACCGAACCCGCAGACGCAGTTCGCGCCAACTGTGAAAAAAAGGTGTGGACGCACGCGGGTAAGCGCATGACGCGGCGGGGAAACCTTATGCTTGGCGAAAGCAGTGGGCCGACCGCAGGGGGGAGAGGGGGGGGGCGAGAGGGAAGAGCGGAGCTCCTTTGCTCCCGCCTCCTCCCCCTTTTGCCATCCACCTCCCTCTCCACCTGCCACTCCCTCTCTCCCATCCCCTGGCTCAAGCCCGCTTCCTTCTTTCGGGTCGGGCGACAGGGGGGGAGTGAGGGTAGCAGTAGGTCGGGCACGTCCTCCTACAGGGGGACTTTGGAGGACAAGTGAGACACCATCAAACCATAAATCACGAATGGCCATACATAGAATGGAACATCGCCCCGACTCTTTTTGGGTTTGGGGGCAAGTATTGCACATTCCCCCTGTAGAGTAGGAGGGACATGCCCGACCTCAGGGCAGCAGCGGGGAGGGGCTGCGCATCGGCTCCCCTTGGTGTGCTTGACGCTCCGTGGCCCCGCGAGGCGCCCGTGGGTCGAGGGAGGCGCCCAGCGGCGTGGGCCGAAGCGAGCTGCGTGCAGCAGGCTTTGCACCACCCTCCGCCCTTTCCAATGCCCCCCCCGCCGTCTGACCCCTCACCCGCCGGCCCGACCCGATCCTCCTGGTCCTCTTTCCCTCCTCCTCCCCCCCCTCCTCTCTCCTCCTCCGCCTGGGCCGACCTGGACGCTCGTCAGGCCCGAAGGGGCGAGGATCCGAAAATGAGTGGCACTCTTTTTTCCCGTCGGCGGCGAGGCAGAGGCAGTCCGCTCCAGCGTGTGGCTCTTCGGGGCAACCGACAAGGTCTTGATCAGCGCTTTCTGCCTGCCCAGGCCCTCCTGGCCCTCGTTCCCCCTGCCCCCTGTCGTCCGATCCTGTCCCTCTGGCCCTCTTTTCCTCATTCCCCCCCCTGTGAGGGGGAGCGATCGGGGGGGGGACCTGGCTGTGAGGGGGGGGAAGCATCGACCTTGAATCGACGAGCCCTCGCCGATAGATCGGCGATCGGCACCCAATAGCGAAATCTGCAAGTTCCTGGGCGTGGTGGGGCGATTGTTTCCACATTAGCGATCCATGGGCGATTGTGGGTCGATACGCCCCCCCCCCCTGAGCCCTATTCCCCCTCGCGCTTCTCCCTGGCGTTCGGGTCATCGCTCGACTCTATCGGCCTCTCGGGAGGATCAGGGCACCCCCGGAGCGCTCTCGGTGAGGAGGCTGGACAGCCGCCGATGACCTACGAAAGCGCCCGAACACCTCGCACCTCGAGACTCGATTCCCCCCCTCCAGCCCTCGCGGCACCCACGCCGCCGCTCCGCCAGCCCAGGCCGGGGGGCTGGTCAGAAGGGCCCGTGCCCGCAGGCCCGCAGTCTCCGGGGAGGAGGGCCAGTCGATACACCGGCGGGCCTCCGAGTGGAGAGGGGAGGGACGAGGAAACGGAGCAGGATGGCAAGGATGAGGCGGAGGAGGAGGATCAGCAGGAGGATTGAGGAGGAAGAGGAGGAGGAGGAGGAGGAGGAGGAGGAACATGAGGAGATTAATGATGATGCTACTACTGATCATAATGAGGGTAATGATGATTATGCTGCTGCTGCTGCTGCTGCTGCTGCTGCTGATGATGATGATGATGATGATGATGATGATGATGATGATGAGGATGAGGATGACGATGCTGATGATGCTGCTGATGATGATGGTGAGGAGGAGGAGGAGGAGGAGGAGAAGAAGGAGGATGAGGAGCAGGACGAGGATGAAGAGGATCATCATCATCATCCTCCTCCTCCTCATCATCATCATCATCATCATCAGCAGCAGCAACAGCAGGATGATCCGATCGGGATCGAGCACGTGGGAGTTTCTCTGCTGCTGCTTAGCACCTGCCAAGCTGCTGCCCATCGAGAGTGACGCAAGCGAGCCCTGGGGGGCGAAACGTCAAAGTCACCAACCCGTCTGATGCTGCCCGTTGTGGGATTTCGCTGCTGCTGCTTGCCTGAAGGAGGAGGAGGAAGAGGAGGAGGAAGAGGAGGAGGAGGAGGAGGAGGAGGAGGAGGCCTGAAGGAGGAGGAGGAGGAGGAGGAGGAGGAGGAGGAGGAGGAGGATCATCAGCAGCAACAGGAGGATGATCCGATCGGCATCGAGCACGCGCGAGTTTCTCTGCTGCTGCTTAGCACCTGCCAAGCTGCTGCCCATCGAGAGTGACGCAAGCGAGACCTGGGGGGCGAAGCGTTCAAGTCACCAACCCGTCTGATGCGGCCCGTTGTGGGATTTCGTCTGCTGCTGAGAGTGGAGGAGGAGGAGGAGGAAAATGAAGAGGAGGAGAAGGAGGAGGCGGACGAGGAGGAGGAGGAGGAGGAGGAACAAGCAAGCAAGGGCCTCAGGATCCCAGAGCCAAGAGTGTGCTTACCATTCGAAACAGCAGCTTGATCTGGGCGGCCTCCAGCGGCAACCTCCTCATGGTCCTCATCCGCAGGCAGGAGGACGAGGGATGAGGATGAAGAGTGAGGGGCTGCTTTGCCCGTTGGGGGGTCGGGTAGGCCTGCGGGGGGTGGCGGGAGTGTTTCGGAGCCGATCTCCGAACGGTAAGCGCACGAGCTTTTACCTTTCGTCTTTTGGCCCCGGGGAGTAAACGATCGAGCGAGGGAGGAGGATAGACCGCCGACACCTTCGCCGGCCCTCCTCCGAATCTCGGCTATCGCCGCGCGCGGCGCGGCCGCCCAGGGGACGAGAACCAGCTGGCGCCGGCGGTGGCGGGGACGTCGGTCAGACCACCTGCCGGGCGCCCCTCTTCTTTTGGCCTGGCTCCGTCGCCTTGACCGCGCCGGTACCTCTGGCCCCCTCGCCAATCCTCGTCCTCCTCCTCCTCCTCCTTCTCCTCCCCCTCCTCTCCCCCTCCCCTTCCTCCTCCTCCTCCTCCTCCTGCTCCTCCTCCTCCTCCTCCTCCTTCTCGCGCATGCCATGGGGCACCGCGGCCGCGGCGTCAGGCTTTCGCTTTCTCCTCTTCCTCTTCCTCTTCCTCCTCCTCCTCCTCCTCCTCCTCCTCCTCCTCCATGTCCTCTACGTTCCTCCCCATTCCTTCTCGCTCTCGTGTTCCTCCTGCTCTTGGCAGCATGACACGTCCCTCAGGGATGCCAATGGCCGGCCCAACAACTTACTAATCAAGCTGCACTTCCCCGCGTGCCCGACAATTCCGCTCAACCGTCCTTGCGTCATTTCATGGATGGCTCGCGCTGGTTTGAAGTGGGTGGACAACGCTGCAACTCTTAGAAATTACAGGGGATTCAAACGTTGCTTTGAGCACCCGAGAAGTTCTCCCCTCTTGAGCTCCTTCTCCTCTTGCTCCTCCTCTCTCCTGCTCCTCTCCTGCTCATCATCTTGTTCCTCCTCCTGCCCCTCGTCATCGTAATCCTCGTTTTCGTCGTCCTTTTCGTGATCCTCGTCCTTCTCGTCCTTCTCTCTCACCTCTCCTCCTCTTACTATGTTTATTATTGCTCTTATTTTCCTCTTCTTGTTGTAACTCTTCTTCTCCATCTTACCATTATTTCAACAACTTGTCTTTCCTTCTAGTTATGCGGTCTCCTCCTCCTCCTGCTCCTCCTCTTTCCTGCTCCTCCTCTTCCTGCTCCTCCTCCTCCTCCTGCTCTTCCTGCTCCTCCTCCCCCTTTTGCTCCGCCTCCTCGTCCTCGTCCTCTCTTCTCCTTATCCTCAAGTGACGCATTTCTCGCAAGTTCCGCTTCCTCCTTCTCCTCCTCTTCCTCCTCCTCACCCTCCCTCTCCTCCTTCTCCTTCTCCTCCTCCTCCTCCTCCTCCTCCTCCTCCTCCTCCTCCTCCTCCTCCTCCTCCTCCTCCTCCTCCCCCCCTCCTCCTCTCCCCCCCTCCTCCTCTCCTCCTCCTCCTCCTCCTCCTCCTCCTCCTCCTCCTCCTCCTCCTCTTCCTCCTCCTTCTGCATCCCCCTCTTTCTTCCTGAACCTCCTGCTCGCTCTCCACCTCCACCTCCTCCTTCTCCTACTCCTCCTCCTCCACCACCGTCCCCGTCAGAGACATATTCTTCCCGTCGGCACCGACTCGACAATCGCTGCTGCTTTCGCCGTCGCGGTCGCCACCGCCATCGACAGCATCGTGGTCGCCCCCCTCTGTTTGTCCACTCATCGGTGGAGGCGGGCACGCGGCAGGCATTACGAGAGGGGAGCAAACTCTCCGAGAACTTGCGCTGCCACGGGGTGGCCTCGAACTGCTGCCTGTCTTGACTGGAAGCGGAATCGCCGTGCCTGGTGCACTGGTGCTCTCTGGTACAGTCGACCCGCATAGTAAGGATGCGCGATGAGGGTGCAAGCGCCTTGGACGCCCATTTCGACGCTTTCTGAGCGGGGCGCGGCCAACAAAAGTGGCCAAGGGTGGGCCGAGAAGGCAGGGATGTAAGGGTACCCTTGGGTAGTGGCCAATGGGTACGGCAACGACCTCACGGCCGTCGGACAGTGAAGGCGACGTACTGAGCCGACGCCACGCGTTCAGAGGGTTCGCAAAAGCAGTCCGATGCAGTGGACGCCAGCAACACTGGTGCGGCGCAGCGAGTTCCCCCCTTGTAAAGCCTCTCCTCACCATGCGCCGTACAATGATGCAACTCTTTGTCTGCAAGCCCACCATCAAACACGCTATCCACTTTCTTGATGGCGTTCATGATGT